AAATCACCATTAAATCCCATTAAATCACCATTAAATCCCATTGAACCACCATTAAATCCCATTAAACCACCATTAAATCCCATTAAACCACCATTAAATCCCATTAAATCACCATTAAATCCCATTAAACCACCATTAAATCCTATTAAACCACCATTAAATTCCATTAAGCCACCATTAAATCCCATTAAATCACCATTAAATCCCATTAAATCACCATTAAATCCCATTGAACCACCATTAAATCCCATTAAATCACCATTAAATCCCATTGAACCACCACTTGAAGTCTAGATTGGGCACCCCCACAGGCCATTACTGCCAGCTCCACCGCCACGTCGTTTCGGACCGATCGGACCGATTCTGTTGGTAGCTCCAGCAGGGCCAGGGCTGTAGGCCACTGGGTGGCCTGGTGTCGGAAGAAATGGTGCTTATGAAAACCTAGGGTGAATGGTGACTGGATGCGATTCACTGGGGATATTCATGAAATCTAATGATAAGATGGGATTTAATGGGGATATTTGATGGGATATTTAATGATTTCGTGGAGATATAAGTTGATGATATGATTTAAGATGATTTAATGGTTTCTCATAGGGATTCTATTGGACTGAAGGAGATTAATGATCATTTAATGCGATTTAATGAACTTCAAGATGACTTAATGAAAATGTGATGTCAATTATGTTTGTTGGTTTATGAATCCCATGAGCTATAGATGAACTAGTTTGTTAGATCTACCACAAACCCTAGTTATATAAGTTATATAAGTGATATAAAGTAATATGCATATATATATATATTATATACACCCTGTATATATATATATATATGCCAATTTTTTTTGCCAATTTGCAAGCACAAAAGGTCGGTAAACCTTGCTGCTAAGCACCCAATTAACACGCCGGATGAAGCGTGTGATGTCCGAAAATCAAAAAGCCCCTAGGAGTGCCTGGGTTGAAAGTCAGGTAACCATCTGGCTTCGGTCGAAATTGACCTTCCAGCTTCAGAGGCCCCTTGTAACCACTTCTGTACTGCACTCCCTCCGGGAAAATTTGCCCATGCCTCAGCCTGTCTGGTCTGCCCCTTTCGGACTTCTTCACGTAGTTGGTCGCCAAAAGCACGTGCTAGAGCAGAGCAAAATCTGTTGGGGTATTCTTTTAGTTTCGCCGTCCGGAATGCTCCCAAGTCGTCTTTGCCGATCGCGGGGGTGGTCGGCTTCACGGCTTCCGCATCCACCTCCGCATGCATGGACCGCATGAGCCTAGGGAGACAATGTGATAAAAGCCCAGTGGGCTTAACAGCCTCTGCTCCCCACCGCCATTGACTCACCTGGGAATACCGAACATCTCCATGTTGGCGCAGCAACTCCGTAGCTGATGCCCGCCAAATAGAAGGCCGCGCCAGATCAGCTGGCATGGCCGGATGTTCCGATAGGTAAAGCCCTCCATGTACAAGATGTCCACAAAGTGCCTTAAGACCCTGGAGGAAGAAGTTGGAGCCTGCATGTGCTTGGCGGAGTTCGCGGACAGAGCGGCCTTGGCCATTTCCCTTGTTCTCCTTCAGGGGGTTGCGTATATCGAGCCTCTGTCAATGTCTCACAAGGGCTGCCAACCATAGTCATAGCTACCATGCCCCAGGCGTACAAGCGCTCCAACATCGCCCAAGACTCAGAGGTGTGCCACAAGTCACCCCATGTGGGTGACACGGCAGTGTCCATCGACAAGATGACAAACTTCACCCCTAACAAAGCTGCCTGTCGTTGCATATGACAATGGAAATCGCCCTCGCGCCTCCTCCCCGAAAAGAGGTGGACCACAAGGAAGGTGGGGCAGCCGCTGTCACCAGGCAACATGGGAATCTCACGCTTCTTCATGAAGTCGAACCACTTCAGCTGACGCCATGCTGCTTGCCATTCCACCTGGTCATAGAAGGCACTAGGCACCTTCTGCTGGGTAGCCTTGCGCTCCCTTGGGTTAGCTGTCCCTCGCCGCACTGGTCGATGTGGGACGCTAGGCGCCTCTGCAGCTTCCTGGAGACCTTTGTAGCGTTGGTGTAGCTGGGCCAATCGAGAAGCCAGTTCTGTTCGCGGAAAAAGCTCCGCGCACTCTGCAAACTTCTGGTCCAAGATCTCCTCGACATAACCGTCCATCTGCTCCGCGATAATGTCCGGGAGGATGTCCTGGCCCCATTGGATGAAGATGTGCGCCGCCCAGTCATCAAATTCATTGCCAAAGACTGACAGGAGTCGAATCCAGCAGTCAATCACATCAGGGATTTCTCCTGACCCACGGCTGCAGAACGCTGCCGACCACTTCCGGGTTGTCACGGTCAGAGCATCCCCAAGCCGCATGCCATACTCAATGTGGTCAAAGGGAACATCTGGGATCTGGAGTCGCATTTCCAACGCAGCAATCTCCTCAGCCACATCGTTCATACGCTGGGTCCATTGATTCCCAAACTGCATGAGAGGGCCTTCTGCTTGCATCGCATCCATGCGCACAGCCTGTCGGCATTCCCCAGGCGCTTCTTGCCGGCAATGTTCTGCGGTGTAGCCATGCTTGGTAAGGGCTGCAAAGCATGGGTTGGCGCCACCCCTCCTGGGGATATACGCCAGGTGCATGGCTAATCTGTTGCTTGTCCAACAGAATTTCATACACACAGGACACGTTGCACCTGCAGTAAATGCATACTCAGGTGCATGAACTTGGTGGGCACGACGCTTGTGGAGGGCCAGCCCTTGACTGGTAGTGAACGCTCTGCCACAGCTGCATTTGTGCAACGCCTCTCTCGGCCGGTTCAGCAAAACATCAAGGTCAGGCTCGAAGGTGGCCCCTGCCTGCTTCAAAGTGGCAAGGATATCCTCGTGGACTGCATGAACATCATACATCATCTGCTCCTGCACCCGATGTTTACGTAGGGCTCGTCGCAGGATACGCTTCCAAGGGAGCGCATCAGTCTGCCACATCTCCACAATCTGCGTCAAGTCTCCATCCACAATGGGATCAAGTGCATCAGGAACAAGTCGTTGTAGCCATTGAAGGTCCGCCTGTAGGCTCGCAATCCATGAAGTCGGACACAAAGCGTGTTCCAGGTGGAGCAATTGCTGCAGAAATGAGGGCCCAATTTGAAACAACCTCCGTGCATAAAGAAGGCGGTCAGTAGCAATACGAACCCGCACATCCAGCGCGTCTGTTTGAACCAGCAGCTGTGCATTGCTAAGCTGTTCCCCTGCTTCACAGCGCAAGATGGTGCGGAGCATCTTGTGAAACTCAATGCGCAGTCTTGCTAGTTGCTGCAGCGTTGGAGTAGCCCAAGCTCCCATCCCAAAGAAAAAGCGGGAACAAACAAGGGACTGGAAGAACTGCATTCGAAGTTTGAGAGGGTAGTGTCGGTTGCCCAACACCGCCCTCAATGTCTTCTGGAATGCTGCCCTCGCCATACCAATTCGTTGCCGCATCTCTGGCTCGAAGGAGTGGCTGGCAGAGAAGAAGGCCCCCAAGTGTTTGTACTTGGCCGTGAAGTGGAGCCATCTCGTGTACCCCTCCTCCTCAAAGTCAATCAAGACGCCAGGTCGATCTGGAAGAAGATGTGTTTTCCTCAGTTCCGGCGCTCCTGATCCCACAAAGGTCAAAACCGCACTGGTCTTGCCCTGATCGTAGTTGCTGGTGAATCCCCTCCGCGCAAATTGCCTGTGAACTTGCCTCATAAGGCGTGTCACCGCCGGCACAAGGTCATGTGCTGACGTGGTCGCCCAAGGGATTGCATAATCATCCGACCAGACCACAAAGACCGGCTCAAGCTCGAGGTCCTTCAGGATGGCCATGTAGTCTGCTTGTTCACGTATCCAACATCTCAATTCGTTGGCAATCTCGCCCATGAGGATGTGGAAAATGATGTCCGCCAGGGGCGAGCCTGGTCTTGTGCCTCGAAAGGTCTGCACCAAGTCATTCCCACGGAGGGTATACCATGTACTTTCGTGGATGTCTCGAAGTAGTCTGATGAGCACTGGGTCAACTCCCTTTGCTTGAAGAATGCCAGTGAAGCCACGTCCAGCATGAAGAGCTGCAGCTGGTGTCTTTGCCTCATGCAACTTATCCAGGACGTAGGTGACATCTTCAACATTGTTGACACCAGTGACATACTGTCGTATCAGATGATGGAAGGCGGTAGCAAGGTCAATGTAGATCACGGCAGAGCTCAGGCCTTTGGCTGGAAAGACATTGGTTAACACTCGCAGTGTTTGTGCTCCGAATGCCACCTGTTGCCCAGCATATCCACCAAGTTGGGCCGGATCACGTTGGCGATGAGTTTGGTCCATGAGCCGGGCCCGAGCGATGGCATGGATCCTTTTTGCAAAGGTCGGGAGCAAAAGGATGCCCCGAAAATGGTGAGCTTCGATCGCACCTGGCTTCTTTGGAATCATCTTCAAGTAGCCACCTTTCCCTTGCAATGGTTCAGCGCCCCATAGGAACATCTTGAGAACGACTTGATAAAAGTAACGCCCCAAAAATGCTGCATGCTGGTGATACACTGCCGATGGGACTTGGTCAAAGCCGGTGGCTCGATCTGCTTGCGTAGCCCTCAGGGAGTTCTCTACCTCAATCAGCGTTGGAAGATTACCAAGGTCAATTCGATCTGGTAGATCATGTGCAGCAGCAGCAGACTGACCTTGGAGACATCTTTGCATGAGGTCTTCCTTCTCTCTCGGTTCGCCAAGTTCAAGGTTTTGAAAATGCCGCTCACTCGTGGCTTCCAAGCTGGCCAGGCGATATGGGCTGTATCCAATCTTCCTGTTCTGGAATTTGGGGATGGAGCGTCGTATAACCGCCCAGAGTTGCTTCACATCCTTCGGATGCAAAAATTCAGCTCCATCTGTCAGCAAGCTGGTGAAGAAGCCTTTGTCATCTCGTCTCATAGCTTGAGTGACCTTCCGGCCAAGTCGCCGGAACTCCCACAAGGCTCCAGCCACTAAAACATCTTGCTGCTGACGCAGCCGTCCATATTCATCTGGTAGGGTGGCTTGTCCCATCTTCCATGCTTGAAAGACTTGCTCCAAAGCTGCTTGTCGTTGGAGGAAATTGTACTCCTTCAGCTGCTTGCGCCATTTAGCCTTCTCACAGACCAGCGCCCAAGTCTCTTCAGAGAGAGTCTGCTTCAGTGGCTTCCGAGCTCGTTTGCGGCATTGAGGTCGCAAGTGCTGAACAACTTGATCATGGAGGGTCTGGAAATGTGTATGAACATCAACTTCAAAATGGATTGAATCTGCCAACCCTGTCCAGTCAATGTCGTTGGGATTGCAATCTCGGAGCTTGTCACTGGCTTGTTGTTTCCCTCGACGGTATGCAGCCAACTGAAAGTGGCAGTCAACACATGCCGCAGCATGGTCAGCCCGGAGAATGGTCGGGTCAATGACCTCACTGATCCATGCGGTACATTGACTCGTGTGCCAACCTCGCGGGAGTCCAACGTAGTCAATACGTCTGGAACTGCCGGTTGAATGAACCCATGTTTGGCCCTCTCCACGCTGGCAAGTAGAGAAAGTAGAGGGCAACCAGAGATCATTGCGCGCCACAAAAGCTTCAAAGGGTAGTGCTCTGTCGTCACTTTTCCCTGCTTGGTGGTCCCCGATATGAATTGAAGGCTCAGCTCCCACAATTGCGTTGGCATCACACAGAAGGACAACGGGCCAGTTCTGTAGTTGCTGGGGAATCGCCTGTTGAAGCTCCTCCCACCATGTAGCCACAGCTTCCTGAGAGTGCCCTGTGTGTGGAGCATGAGCCGCAATTGCCACGAACTTCAAATGAGGTGTGGCCACGCGAACCAAAAGGAATCGTGGGTTGAAGGCGACAATGGCAAAGTGCTCATCCCTAAAATACTGAGCTTGGCGGCGACCATTGGGAAGATGTAGAAGTCCATAGGGTCGGTGTTTTGCAAATCCCATCATGATGCCAAGGTGACCCGCTTCTGTGGCCGCACTCTTGAAAATGAAGAAGTCCTCGTCATGCGCTTGATGAAGCTTGCGCAACCGAGTCTCTTGTAGAGCAAAGATGGTGATGGCTTCCTCCTTGATCTGGCGGATCAAAGCTGCTTGTCTCGCAATACCCGTCATCTGCGTGGCCACATCCTTACTACCTTTCAGAGAGAGCACATTGCAGGTGACAAGTCGGATGTGGATGTCAACGATCTGGTCGCATGCTGCCTGTTCTGCCGCAGACTCATCAGTGGGAACTACCGCTGGAGTGGGCTCTGTAGTCGGGGCAGGCACACGCAAGTCAAGTCCATGCCAAAGGTGTCTGTACTCAGTGGCAAAGAGAAGCCAAAACCAATGCGCTTGAGCATGAGCAGCTGTGTGGACTTGGTGATCAATCCACTTTGCAAATGGCGTCAAGCCTCCGTGACTGCGTGCTTCACTGGCCAGCTGGTCGACCAAGTCATTGCCAATCTCGCCAGAGTGGCCCCGCACATGTTCAAATTGAATGGATGTATGGTACTTGGTCTCAACAAGGAGGGCTAGTGCACGCAAAAAGCTGCCATAATCCCGGTGCGTGATACTGCTCCAATGCCCTGCTGCTTGGTTGCCTACCGTGAGCGCATCATAGCGAAGAAGGACTTGTGGTGGTGCAGCATCGATCAGCTTATGCAGCTTGAGCACATCATAGATGAACTTGTGGGCAGCAATAGAACCGTACAGCTCTGCTGTGTAAGCACTTGAAGCTGTTTCAATCGCACTGCTAAGGGCTCCCAGAAAGACCCAACCACGCGAAGTATGGAGAAAACCTGCAACAGCCGCTCCTGCACATACCTCCCCTTCTTGTGGGCAACTGCAGTAAGATCCATCAACATAGATGCATACAATATCGCCAGGAGTTTCATGGTCCCACCACTTCGCAGTCCATTCCGCCGCTGGGTGCGGTGCAGCAACCTGCGGTAAGTCAAAGACCGGCAGGAAGAGGTGGGTGTCAAACTGGTCAAAGGCTTTGAATGTCTCAAGAAAACAAACAGTTTGCTGAGTAGGCGGCCATGGAAATCGTTCTGGTGGGGCCTTATCAGCCTGTTGTTGCACTGCACTCCTTTGCAATAGTGCAATGCTGTCGTCCTCCCATTCCTCATGGCTTCGCTGGCCAAATCGCTTCCCTTCTCGCACGACTACATACAGGTCGTAGCCATTTCCATTGCGTCCTTGGTGCGAGTGCTCCAGCAGCAGCTGCTGTTCTCCATGCCAGAGTTCACAAGCATACGCTGAAGCCGGATGAAAACAACGTTCGGCAAATGAAGTGACATGGACTAGATCACGCTGCTGGACTTGTTCAGGCGTGGTCACTACCAGTCGCGTATATGGGCCAGGTCGTGGAGATAGCCATGGGTCAAAGATGGTGACTACACTAGTAACCACATCAGGTTGGGGAGCTTGAATCACCACAATGTGTGCCATAATATTTGGTTCCAAGAAAGATGGCGTAGGGTTCACAATGTGGTACTCAATCGCAAGTGAATCATCAACAATGTCAGCCCAAGTCTGGTGAATAGCCGCATGCCAGTGAGTATAGTCCTCTTGCAAACTAACTGGGCGTGGAGCCAAGCAAACAGGTAGCCCTTCTCGGTGGTCAACAAACCACGTAAGGATCTTCCCAGTGCGCTGTTCACCTTCCCAGGCAAATGCTTGAGCCTCCCAGATGAGTTGAAGCGCTTGAACAAACTCATCCTGCAGCAGCAAGACAGATCGGGAGGCAGGCCCATAGATGGGACAATCAATCGGCACCAAGTCCATGTCTGCACTAACCTGTGAAGGACGACCTCTGCGACTAATTTGCCTCTGCATGAGGTGTATAGTGTCCATCTCCTCGAAGCTCCTCGTTCCATCCCAAGGGAGACGGGGTATGGGAATGGTCGGAAGGTCGCTCCGAATCTGCATAAGGAAAGCCACATCTTCAAAGTGGGCTCCTGGAGCATGGGGAAGTTGCTGTGCAGACGGTGGTGGCCCTATTCGGATGCGCAAGTTGAATCCGTTGCTCAGCTCAACTGGGACAACGAGCTGCACATTGTTGAGCCCAGCTTTGATGTCACATCGGCGGCCCTCACAGACGGGCCCCAAGTGCATATCATCAATGATCTGGTCCTTTCTCGCAAACCTAGGCAATGAGGCGGCTTGTTGTTCAAACGCATCTCTGGTGGGCCCTTCATACAGTGTGGTCACAACTCCTGCACAAAGCCCTGGAGGCCTGGCTTGCTCCAAAATTACATGGCAAGCATAGTTCTCAAAGCGCGATTGTGGTGGACGAGGCTGTACCAAATGGATAGAGAATGGGCGCCCTTGATCCAGTTGGTCACGCCAAATAAATCGGAGCTCTTCAATCCAGGTAAATGTCGATCCATCCAATCTTATTGGTCGTGGATGCCAGCATCTGAGCTTGCTTTCATGATGAATGAACCATGTTTGGACATACATGTAGGCCTCACCATCAATGGTTTCTTGCTCAGCATATTGCGTAAACAGTGCACCCAATTGATACCACCAGGCAAATTCTCCATCATGACGAGGTCGCAATCTGGGAGCTCTCGTGCCTGGAGCATAGAAGATGGGTACTCCAGGGTCTTCAACATTCTCACATGGCTTGCACTGCCTCGACCGAGGCATCTCCCGCTCTTCAGCTTCGTGATTGGCATCACCAGATTGACCTTGCAAGAGGTCATGGGCAATTCGTCCCGCAAGAGGGAAGTCAAAAAGGTCGCCAGCTTCTTGGGCCATTCTGATAGCCAGGCTTGGTTCCCAATCTTCGCGCAAAGGCGGAGGGAGCTGGATCCGGATGTATGTGCCATGGTCAACATCACGTAATCGCCCGTCTGCGAAGTGCCATATGTGTCCATTGCAGTGGACAACACACTGATCATCCATCCACTGGCAGTAAGCATCGACTCCAGCGGTGCGAAGGATGTGAGGCCTGGCGACTTGTGGTAGGACTTTGTACACCTTGCGATTGATGGTAGGCGCCTCAGGGATGCCCGCTGCATGTCTATTGACGTGCATCACAACGTCGATGACAATGAGCTTTTCATTGGAACCAACTCGCAGGTCGTTGACATGTTGAAGGATGATAGCTTCCTCTGTAAGGGCTTGCCCCACCAGTGGAACTTGCGTGTAGTGGTAGCCGACAAATTGATTGGCCGGCAATCCAACTAGTTGGGCTGCTTCACGTAGAACCACATGGTAGCTTCGCCAATCAACATGGCCAAACACCGTGGGATGACCAAGTCGCATGACATGCAAAGCCTGGTCATCAACACGTCCTGACTCTGAATTGGATGATGATGGAGGATCGTCTTCATGATGAGGAGAAGATGGGCTCTGTTCAACATCCATATCTTCATCATCAAGTTGGTCATCGGCATTGGTCTGATTTCCCTGTTGATTTCCTGTCTCATTCCCTTGTTCAGCTGCTCTGTCACGGCCTTGCAGTGTAAAGGTGTCACCATCAGTCATTGCATGCACAGGGTTGGCATCAAAAGGGATCAGAGTTCTACCCTGCTTGATGGTACACGTCCTCCAATGGCATTCATGGAGGGCATGAGCACTGGTAGCAATTTGGCGTCCACTAACAAACTGCGGCAATGTGGACGCAAGTGCATATTGAACTCGACAGCTTCGATCATTGGGTTGAAGGACCGAAATCAGCCCCGCAAAATTGGGGGCATGTAGACCTTGCACCACAAGCAGGTCCATGATGAATTCGTGGGTGGCCGACTGTCTTGGAGGGTTCGGGCGGCAAATGAAAAACGCAACTTCTTCATCCGCAAAGACCTGATCTTGCCATCCACCAACGATATCTCTGTGCCAAAAACGCCAATGTCCATTCAGCTCAATCACACGTGGATGGAACCATTGAGGTGCATGAACATGATGGAGATACCATGTCCTCAAAAAGACTTGCTCTTCCAGGCGCTGTCCATCTAATAGCTCTTCGTCCAGAAAAAATTGAAAAAGGTTCTGGATGTATTGGGAGGCTTCATGTAGAAAGAAACCTGCATCTTGAGCATCGTCTCCATGTCCATGCGCCGGCGCAGTCTGATCTTGGTGTTGGTTGCCCCAGTTTTTGATGGGACATTGTAGTACTCATCAAATGTGCGGTACCGTGCCTCTTGGCCATCTGCTGTCTGATGTCGCCCTGTTGGTGGCTTTGAACTTCGCAAAGTCCACGGCTTGTCAGTCCAGGAGGCAAATGCATTCACTGGGACAAATGTCCGATTCAATTCACTGCCAAAATGGCAGATAGCAACCTCAACCTCATGAGCAAAAGAAACCCTGGCTTTCCCATCATCAGGGCCTTTTCCATGAACTAGGCCAACATCGCCAGCCTGGTAAAGTGAAGTGCCGAGCTCCGCCGCAAGATGAAAGGCATCCTCTGCAGCTTGCCACTCACTGACAAAGATATCCTCAAAACAAATTGAATGTGTCCATTTCTGCACATTCATAGGCACGACATGCCCTAGGCAAGGGTACTCATCGGTCACGTCTTGCCGGGCGCTGGAAAATGCGACTCCCTGACTGGAAATGGTTGCAACGCATTGCCAGAGGAAGGTTTGGAATCGTCGTGCATTTCGTCTTCTCCTGCATCTACTCTTTGTCGTTTGGCTGCTTGCTGTTGCTGCTCTTGAGCAACCATGGCCTCTGCCTGCTGGCTGAGACTGACAAGATTGGCTGCCATCGTGTTGAGCCCCTCTTGCAAAACTCTGCCTGAGTTTTCTTCTTTGTTTTCTTTGGCCGCCTCCGTCTCTTTCTCCACCACCATGCAGTCCAACTCGGCCTCGCTGCCCAGCGTGTGTTGGCTCGCATTGAAGGACTTCCTGGCTGTCGCAAGGGCAGCTTTGCACTGCTCGATGGTGGCGAGGTACTCTTGCTCCTCCTTTTGGAAGTCGCTCGTGTACTCTTGCCATCTTTTCACTGCTGCCGTCAGAAAATCCTTCCACCGAACATGTAGCTGGTGATGCCCAAGTCGAGCTTGGTCTAATGCCTCCCTTGCAGTACCCAAATCGGTGGCTGCTGTCAACAGATCGTCGGCTGCTTTCAGGCCCACCTGTAACTGCTCTTCTTGCATCATAGTCTGCATCTCTGGAGTAAGGTTTTCCTGTACTGCAGCAGGTTGTTTCTTCATCTCCGCAATCCAGTTCTGAATTTTCACTTCGGCCGGTGTCAATGGCGGTGGAGTTGATGGTGGGGGCAGCGGTGCAAGGGTCGCTGCTGGCTGTGTCCCTCTCCACGGGGGTTCTGGTGGCAAAGCTCGCGGCACTCCATGGGTGTAGCCTGGAGAAGCGGCCTGTTCTTCGCCAGGTCGATTTTTCGAGGCTCCCTTGCCTTTCCCTTTGCCTCCTTTGCCCTTGCCTTTCTGCTTCCCCTTGCCCTTCGTTCTGGGTGATTTGGGCCTTTGGTTCCATGCTCGACGTGGACTTTTGGAGCTGCGAGGGCTCTTGCCTGCATCCTCCTCTTGCCAGTAGTTCCAATCCTCTCCATAGGATTGGTCCTGCTTGGTCTTGTTCTTCACCTTCTGCGGGACATAGTTCAAATCCGCATCGCTCCATGCTGCTCCACAATGGCTGCAATGGTTTGCCGATGCTTTGCATACTGTCATGCAATGACCGCATCTCCACTCGCTCCAATTGTCCGCCATCTTGTTGCTGATGCGGCAAAGGAACCCTGGATCACTGGAATGATGTTTGCTGAGAGTCTTGTAGAGTCTGCGGAGTTCCAGACGGGAGAGTGACAATAGCCCCTTTTGAAAGAGATGCCAAGTCAATCTTGCCTTCGCCCTTTTCCGCCTCAACGCTCTCCTCAATGACGAATTGATGGTGCCTAATGACAAAATGGATCACAAAAACCAAATCAAAGAGAAAACGCATACGATGCCAAACACAAACTCAAAGAGGATGGTGAAGGCAAATTCCAAAATGTCAAAGATGTGCACCAAGAACCGGTGATAGCAGCTTGCACAGAGCTGCCAGAGCACTGAAAGGCACAGCAAGCCGCAGCGCAACCACAGCGCAAACAACAGCCGCAATGCCCGTGGGGTTCACCGGCAACCCCACTAAGGTTCAAAATCACACAGCAATACCGGGGGGCACCCTGCGACACGCTGTTAGTCACTTGATCCGAACCTTTATATATATATATATATGTCATGTATAATAAACTAAATCAGCCAATGAACTGGGTCACCACCTTGTATGCTCCATGGTGCTGGCCATGTTGACCAGTTGATGAAACCATTTGTCTGGTAAACGCTGGACAATATACTGTATACTATACAGATACATGAAGTATCTGGGAATAATGTCGGTGTTATATAGGTCTTTCATACTGAGTTTCACCAGAGAAATTGCATGGCAACTCCGTCCCAACTCCGTGATGATTGGTAGGTCAAGACATGGGTTGCACTATGGCGACTCGGCATGAGACATCTGAAGAAATATGTCTATATATAATTGTCTACCCTCTGGTAATTTAACATAGCTATTGAAAATGGCCATTTGTAGTGGATTTTACCATTAAAAATTGCCATTTTCAATAGCTATGTTAAATTACCAGAGGGTATACTTTCCGGTCACCAAACATGACAAGCTGGGAAATCCCAGCTTGCAAATGGACACTCAAATGGGAAAATCATCGAACAAGCCATGTGCGAGATTTTCCAGCAAGCCATGGAGCTGATTTCACGAGAGGTGATTTTCCAGTTGAACTTCTCCCTCTTTGTTTTGCCATCAGGACTGATGTCTTGCAGGTGTTTGATGACATCATATATATATATATAATATAATATATATGTATGTCATATATCATATATAACAAAGAATATATTATATATTCTATATAATGTCATTAAATTTATAATATACAATATACAATATACACTATATAATATTTAATACATAAAATATCATATATAATATATAAGATAAAATATATAATATATAATATAAAATATATTATATATAATATATAATATATAATATAAAATACATAAATATAATAAATGATATATAATATATAATATATAATAAAACACATATAATATATAATAAAACATATATAATATATAATAAAGCATATATAATATATAATATATAATATATAATATATAATATAAAAAGTTTAACATTTAATATTTCATGTTTAATATTTAATATCATATAATATAATGTGTATATATATATATTATACAATATCATATATATATATATATACACTATGGTTTTCTGATGTAGCTCCGAGCTGCCCGAGCATGTCCCCTTCAATATACGGCTGCAAGCGCAGAGAACATTGCTATTCATCAGCTGCCCGGTGCACCAGGTTGTTGAACAAAGCCCAACAGATTCAAATCTTGTAATCATCCTTTTAAATCAAAAGGTGTAATCTTGGCATTACCTATCATGAACTCCCCAATTTTGGGGGGTCACAATTGGTAATAACCTGATGGGCAACAATCTATGGTCTCTATGGTCTAAACCCATCCCCATATATCACAAAACTATGCATGGCAAATCGACCAGATATACATTACAGTATGTGTATATATGTGTATGTATATATGTGTATATATGCGTTGTAAATATATGCATACACATAGATCCTGTCCATTTTTAGTGCATTACAGACAGACATACTTTGTAACTAGAATCACTAGAAGATATCAAACATTCTCAAAACATATTTTTTCCACTTTTTTCCAGTACAAAAAGCATCATTTTCCCTCCAAACGTCCCAATGATTTCCCAGCCTTCTCACAGGCCGACAGCGTCGCATTGTAGGCTAAAACCTCGATCTCTGAGGTCGCGGGCCACGCGGGCCACGCACCAAGAAATCGTGGGGATGTTTGGGTAAGATAACCATGGGGTAACTATGGTGAAAAATATTAAACAAAGGTAAGTATGCTATGAGGTATGCTAACTATGGGGGTAGAATAACTATGGGTTGGAATAAGTATAAAAAAATACATATATGATGGAAATATGGAAAAAGATAACTGTAAGGTGGACCCCCCAGTTGTAAATTAGCTTGTGACCCCAATAACAATATTATATTATGTTACATTATGTTATCTTTGCCAGAAATCATAGTTGACCTACTACAAAAAAACAACAGCTTAGCTATCTAGAGGGGGGCCATCTTGTATGGGGAAAAGTAAGTATGGGGTAGCTATGTACATATATTGTTGGAAAATACGGGACAACATAGAATAAGGGTTCGGAATAAACATGAATCAAATGGGAAATCAAACCCAAAAAGTTATTAATTGCTGCCCTGCCAAATCACAGTAGTTTGACAAATAGTGGGACACACCCTGTGCATCCCCATCCTATCCCCCAAAAAGCAAAATCTGGATCTATGTGGCTGTAATCCATTCAGTACCCCATGGAAATGGTGGGTTTGGAAAAAAAACGACTTGGAATCTAAGCAAAACAAAAGAAAACAACATGTGGGTCTGAAAATTGGCTCTAACCCCAATTCATGAGCACATTCATAGTGAAATTCGCACTTAACCAATGGATTTTGGTGTTTTACCCTAGATTTTCAGGCAAACCCATGCCATTGAGGTCTGTAGATCATCCCAGGGTATCACTCCCAATCTGGATGATCGATGGAAAAAATCATACAGCTACCAAACCAGAAATGAGTTTCTGCTCAATGGTTTACAGACCAAAAGGTATGTAAACATACAATGATCCAACATGATCCAAGCATATGATGTTTTTGGATGGAGGAAATCCTGAACCAGTTGATAACTATTGGTAACTATGACACACTGTAAATGGAACTATAACTGGATAAACCATCTATCAACTGGTGATCGCCACCCCGGGCAACCCGTGCCTTGGTGGCAGTCATCCATGCGCATGTGGCTAGGTCCCGTGCCGTGGGTCCATGTTCATCACACAACTGCTGAAACAAGCCAAGGGCCTGGAGGACGATGGCCATGCTGTGGATGGCGGTGATTGTATCGCATACCGGTGATTTTCCATAGCTATGGAAACATGTTCCATTTATAGATGATTTATGAATATGTTCGATATCTATGTTTAGTTACCGATTAAACATGGTGATTTCCCATAGCCACGTGAAATGAGCAGAGGGTAACACTTGATCTCATGAGTATACATTGTTCTCTGTTCCATTTGGAAGGAATAACAATTCATCAAGATACGTTTTTCTTATGTGATGAGAATTATTCTTGTATGATGAGGACATTTACCTGACGATCGTCGAATGAGCTTTTGTAGAAAAACACCATAGCAATTTGTAGCCAGCCCATGGGTCTATTTGACCAACCCAAGCTCGGTGGCATATAAAAACTCGGTAGGATATCAATAGATATCATGAAAACCCAAACCGGGAAAAACAAATACAGTGACTGTGTTTTTTGGGGCCGAAATTGTACTTCCTGTACCTGGGAGATATCGATATACTTTGCGGAAATTACCTGCGCTTTGATTGGCACTGGGGTTCGCTTTAGTGAATTTTGCTTAGCGATATGAGGGTTTCCATAAACGGGGGAACCCCTAAATCATCAATCTTAACAGGATTTTCCATTATAAACCATCCACTTTGGGGTACTCCCATTTAATCATTTATGGAAAGCCTCATATTCCAATGCAATCCACTTTGATAGGCTCCATGTTGTGGTGCCAGATTCTTCTTGTTCAAAACAGCACTTCTTAGACTTTTTGGGTTCTTAAATCGCCAGTTTTGGACATGTCCATCCCCAAAAAATATGTGGTGAACCGATTGCGCAACCGCCCATATCCGCCCATCATCTCCAAGGAAAAGCCAGGAGTTTGACGTCCTGTTGCCACTCTCTTTGGCACAAAAATCCCCGAGAGATGTCCAAGCCATTTCTTTGCAGATCAAGATTGAAATCACCCAAAATTCATGATGACCTTTGAGTTGGGAAAAATCACCATCACTTGATGGCGAAACTGCTGAAATCACCATAAATCACCAACCAACCGGTCATCACTTCGGAATTGGGGGTAACCCCGTCATGTTTAGACCCAAAAAAAAGACATTAAAAACTACGAGCTGGGGCCCCATACGGCTAAGTTGACCAGTTGAACTGGATTTAAGTATTAGCAGTTTTTTTTGTAGAATATAGTAGATACAACTAGAATTCATGGAATCTACAAACCAACAAACATAACTGATATAACTGGGGGGCTGAAAACCTTGTATCCTGCTTGGTAAAGTTCTTACATGTGAATCATCATACAATATGAATGGAGATTGGGATTAACTATAGTTGGTTACACTAGTTATAAACCGGAATAGTCCCAATTAATATCCCTTTAAATCACCATTTTTGATTGTTAAACCTTGTAAGTCCATGTTGTGCTTATGTTTTTTCTCGTCAGAACATATCCACCATACTTGGAGGATCATCTCATGGATAGCCAAGAACTGGAAAGACAGCACATCCAGAAAGCGAAATCCAACCAACTCCCATGAAAGATGAAATCTCAGTAAGTCCCATGAAATAATTCAGTAAATCATATTAAATCATATTAAATCCCCATAATTCCTATTAGGATTTTCCCAAGTTCTTGATGTTTTGTTTCACCAAACCACGACCGTCAAAACGACCGTGAAATAAATTCAAAACGCTGGCCTCTGCCCATGCGGCGTCACGCTGACAGGCGCCCACCTGAGGAGAGCAAAGTATTACCAGTTAGTTGAATTACTAGATGGATAAATATGGATAGTTACTATGGTGTATTACCAACTATTACTATCCAACCATTAGTTGTATTACAAATCTCCATTAGTTGATAATAGTTTTACCCACGGATGTTTTCAATGAATTGGTTGAAGGGAAAATGTGTTTCATGATACAGATGAAACGTCTTTTCAATGGGATTGGTTGAAAGGGGCAATTGAGGGAAATCCAGAGAAAAAATCACCCAACAAGACCAGTGATGTAATGATGGCATAATGGGTGTTAATGAAGATTAATGGATGGGTTGAAGGGAAAAGATACAGGAAACATCAGGAAACCATGGCTTTAACCTCTCAAATTTGTTGGGGCTTTCTGTAGATTGTCCATCTACATAGTTCTGGAATATTGTAGGAAGATCCGTGAAGCTTCGGAAAAAACACCCGTTTTGTATAGGTAAACTATGGTGAACACCTTTTCGCATTTCTTACACTTTGCGAGATGGAAAATCACCAGTGAAGAAATGCTAGTGGCCATGGCTTCCATCGCAAACTGTTACATTACTAGAGAGTATCATTCATATACGCTCTGGTTATGACTAACATAGCCATGGTATAGATGGCCCATAGAAATAGATGATTTCCCCAGCTAGAAACCTCAATTTATTTTGGGGATTTTCCATGGCTATGTTAAATAACCAGATGGTAATTACTGGGTGTCATACATAATTGCACACAACAAATACATACATACACATACAAACACAACAAGATCATCCAATAGTCCAAGCAAAACATATGCCTCCCAATGTATGGATTGTGACAATCCCCAACATATAAAGGCGGGTATATCCCCGCACAATCATCTTGTGGGTTTGTTACAACTGAAATCTCTGATTTCAGTCATCTATGCGATTGTTTCTTCAAAAAAATACAAGAGACTTATCTTGACATATCTTAATATGTTAAAATGGAAAATCCGCAAGTCACCATGGGTTAACCTATATAAGTCATGGTCTAATGATCTGGATGACTCTGCATTGACTCTGCATATCCATATCATATTCCATAAAAGAAACTATTCTCACTTTTATATTCCATATTATATTATATATCCCATTGTCCCACTATTTTGAATGCTTAAACCCCCATAAAACCACCCATCTTTCATGCTTAATTCACCCATAAAATCACCATTTTGGATGGTAAACTCCCTGAAAAACCATTGGATTCCCAGGTCTCCCGGCCAGGGAGTCAAAGGCAAAGGCATCGGCGGTGATGGCTTTCTGTCGCATTTTGTCAAACCTCGCGGGCGCTTCTCGTTCTACCCTTCGGTTTTTGTTGGTGACTTTTCATGTTGATTTCATGATGGTTTAATGGGATTTTATGGTGATTTGATGATGATTTCATACTGATTAATGGAGGTTTCCATGGGATTTTTATGGTGATTTAATGATGGTTTAATGGGATTCATACTGATTCCAGGGGATATTCCATGGGATTTCACAAGCTTCAAACGTCCCCAGATCGCGCCAAGGCGCAGCCGCAAGGCCGAAGCCAAGCCATTGCGCAGCTGCACGGTCAGCTGCGCGGTGAAGGTCACCGCGTTGCCTTCGATGGAAGCCTCGGTGTTGGGAAAGGTTCATTAATGGCCCATTCCAATGATTATATCCCATAGATATATGGCCCATAGATATATAATGATTTTACAATGGGCCATTAATGAACTTTACAATTATTAATGATTATTCATGGTGATAATTTGATTTTATATTGATCCCATAGAATGATATTATAATGGTTATGAATGGGATATGAATGGTTATAAATCATCCCCATTTAACTAACCATAACCTATTGGCCATGTTCATATTTGCCAATAGGTTTGGTTAGTTTTTTCTGGGGATGTTTCATTTATGGCTATGTCTAATCATCTTGGAGCCAATCCCCTAAGAAATGGCTAATTGTTAAATGGATGGTTCATTTGCCAATAAACCCATCTTTCAGAAATGCCAATATGGCTATGGATCAATAGCTATACAATTTCTTAGGGGATGAACATCCATTTGTGGCCAATCTTCACCAGGGGTACAGGGTACAATGACCCATCCCCATATGTGCCGTCACGTTTTCCCAATATTTTGTGATACTTTCCCATGTCTTCCCAATATTTCAACCACATTGTCCGATATTTTTGACATGTTTTCCCGATATTTTTGACATGTTTCCATGGTTTCTCATATTTTCCGATATATTCCAATCGTTTCGATTGGATGCTGGGTAATAATGAATTTGTTAAATCTATGGATTTATGGATATGATGTAGCCAACTATAATTTGGGATTGAATGTCCACGGTTGATATAATTTCATATGAATGGACATGATGGTTGGGTAAATCAAAAAACAATAATTCCATCTTAAAGCGAGTATATCCGAATACCTAAGTTGGGTTTTTAAGTTTTTACACTTTAGTTTAGAATTGTTGCTTTGGGATAAACTTTATGTCACAATATTATGCATGTGGCCTGAAAAATCACGGTGTGTTGCTTGAAATCTGGTGATTTATCGCCAACAGGATGGGGATTGATCAACACCTGTTTTAATACGATTTTTTGGCGGGCTGAACTTCTGAAGCAAGAAAGTTTTGGGGGTTGGTAAAATAGTTGTACCCTCTGGTTATTTAACATAGACACGGGACATAGCCCATTTATAGAGGTTTACCTATTAAAAATGGTGATTTTCCATGGCTATGTTAAATAACCAGATGGTAACCAAGTGAAATAGCCCAGAGTAGTGGTACCTAAGCCATAGATGATATATGATCATCGCTTCTTACTTGGGTCCCGCACCAGCAAGTTGGCTGGCGTAAACAAATTGTAGCTACATTTGGCACAAACCCTAGATACAGTTACATGTAGCTAAAGAACTGCAGCCCCACCTTCCAGCCCGCTTGATATAGAACCAAGAGTTATTTCAGAATATTTCAGATATCCCAAGCTTTTTAGACATGCCATCATGTCATATCTCATATCAAGTTAGTCATATATATCTCGTAAAATATCCCATCCCATCATATCTCCACAAACCATGATTTGCTGAAGATGTATTGTTTTTTGCCAAGGTGAAAATACACTACATGGGGAGTCTATAGGGTGTCTGTATATATATATATTAATGTGTATATATATATATATATGTACATAAATATATATATATAATTATTTATATATATATATATATAATTTTATATATATATATATATGTATGATTATGATTATGTATGTAATTATATATATATAATTATATATAATTGTTTCACATGTCACCAAACAAATCCACGGAAATCCATACAAGCCTGTAGAACCGCATGGTCATTGATATTCCATGTTATGTACAATGAAGGACCCATAGCCTATGAAAGGGATCTGTCCGCTTGAGTGAGGCGGACAAAAGCCTTGCCGACTTCAACCTTCAGCTGAGTTTCATTGTCAACAGACCCACGTGTTCTGGAACGGTTGCGGTTTACAGCGTCTGATGGCCTCTGCCTCATGGAACCCTTTGCTCACGGTCGGCGACTCGTAGGCAGAGCAGAACTGCGTCCAGCTGTATAGCGGGAAAACGTTATACGCTAGGCTCACGCATTGGGAATGCTTCGATCTGTGACATGCAAGCTGGAGAATGCAATTTTAGACCAAGGACGACCAGGGACCGGCGGATCTAAGCAGAAGCCATAGAAGCCAGGACAAAAACCAGGAACAAAAAACGGTTTGCTTCGCTCAGGTCCACCCCACTGGTCTGGCGTCTGAGATCGCCCACGGAAGCTGAAGGTGCACGGCCGCACGGCGGAGGTGTTGGGGCCGAGGCAGATGACTCGTTTAGCTTGATGCAAAGCACAAGTGGAAGCCTGGTCTAAAACTGCCCTACAAAAACCAAAGCCCCAGTTGCCATGAGAGTTTCTGATTGCGGCCAAATATGTCTACAATCGTCTATGCATATCTTTGTTCGTAAACCAACCGACCCTTCAACAAGATTGTTTGTTGATTAAATAAACATTAAATCCTATATGTGTGTTGCGTAAGTCCCTAAAAATCTATGAATCTATATAGACATGTCAACCCTCAATCCATGAACCTTCAATTAAGTAAGGTTTAATGATAACCCTGGCTGTTGATTGAGGGGGGTACCAAGGCTTTAGTCTCATCTATGGTACAACCATGCCGATTTCAACTTTTTTTGGGATGACGCCCATGTAACTAGTGGTGGTGCTAGTGGTGCTTAAAAAGGTAGCTACTTTTCTTCATAGAGGTTTACCATGGTCAAACAGCTTACTGATGGTTAATTAATGGTTAATTAATGGCTAATTCAGTGAGTTAGTCCCATCCTAATATTGACTTCTCACCGTCGCAAAAGGTGTTTCTTGAAGCCCCGAGGCAGGAACATCAAACACCAGGAGTCCACGCATTCGTCATCTCTTGCATCAGCCGATCCACCTGTAGGAACAGCGCTGTAGCTGGAACGGCTAGAATCCACGAATTTCATGGGAAAACATGGGAACATCAACACACATGGGATATATCACGGATATATATATATATATATGGGATATCATACCTGATAATGACGTGTCTATAATACGCAGGTATGTCATTTACTGTTTTTTTTGTCAAGAACAACACGGGGATTTGATCAGCTCAGTGCAATGCCAGATCTTGCAGGTTACTGCTGGTGGTTTTGCTGGAAACACATTTTTATTGGTGATGATGAACACATTCTTGCAGATATTTGCAGATATTTGCAGATGAATCTTGAGTCCAGGCAAAAAAACAACAACAAAAAGCATCGTACATTCATTTTTCTGATGGTCAAATTTGGATTGTTCGTGGTCAAACCCCAACTTTTCATTGTTAAATTCAAAGTTGTGGATAAACCCAACTTGATTCGTCAATGCGTCAGTGGCAGCAACGTATCTATGGGAATCTATGGTAATGTCGGACGAGGAGGTTTCAACATGTTTCAACCTTGTTCGGCCTCGCCCCCTCGATGTTCGTTCTTAAAGCTACCTTTTTGGCTGGTACTGCTGAGTCAAAGTGGGTTACATCATTTTCTGGTTGGTGGTATACCTACCCCTCTGAAAAATATGAGTTCGTCAATCGGATGGATGTCATCATGACATCCCAGATATGAAATGAAAAAATATAGGCCAAATAAAGGCCATGTTCCAAACCACCAACCAGTTTTACAGACCCATTGGTAACGGAAACTAGGGTCAGTCCACCTATACCAAAAGGATGTCACAAAGGTGACCCCAATGGGTTATCCATGGTCAAGCCGTTCTAGGGACAAGAAAAAGCCGGGTTCTGTAGCCTTGGGGAAAAGGTACAGTACCCCCATAGTTAAGCTGGTGTCTAACTCCAATTGGTAGGATTTATGGTACAGTAAATTATATACATGTCCATTGTTAATTGAGTTAGAAAACAACTTTTAGTGATACCAGTCAATTGGTCAGCCTCTATTAATTAGTTAATAGACCATAAACTAAAGTTTGTTAACAGCTTTTAATTCGTTTGTTAACAGCTTGAAATTGGTCAGCCACTATAAATAAACCACTTGGAGGATCCCAACTTGGCAATGAACTGCTTCGTAACCCTGGCTGGCAATGAAGTCCCCATTGCGTGGCTTCTCCTATACATAGAAATGGTTGAACTAAGTATGGCATGCCATATGCAACCATTTACTACAGAAACCAATTATACAATGTATGATCAGACATTAAAAGTAGTCATAGAGATGATAAATGATGATCCCATAACATATTATATATATATCATATATATTATATATATTATATATATTATATTATATTATATATATATATTTTATATTATATATTATATTATATATATATATATTATATTATATATATTATATTATAAATATATGATAAATATATATAATATATATATTATTATAAATATAAAATATATAATATATATATATAATACATATATAATATATGTGAACAAATGAATCCTTGTTCTGGATACCGTTTAGTTGGAGGTACCGGCAATGCTGGTTGTAACCGTGACCCTTCAAAGCATGGCGCACGGAACGCGACTGTTTTCCTTGCAATGGGCGCTTGAGCCATAGTGGCGTCCCATGAAGTTGTTGTCTACATTACACACATGAATTGTGTGTGCTATGACTGCGTTCCCTTTGACGCCCCCATGTCCATGGTATCCTTCGGACCACGGACACGAGAGAGGGAACTTTGAATTAGAATGATTCTGCTACTCGAATTACGCCTATTTACATAAAACATGCCATTCGGCTCCTCCTTCCCCACATACCCGACGGGAATAATGGTTCAGGGTTCGCCTACTCTATGGCTGTCGATGCATCGGCGCGTCATCAAGCTGTACAACGCGAATTATTGCTAGCTAACACCTACTTTTCTACGTTGGCTAGGCATGCCACTCGCCCGACGGGAGAAATGGATCGCTTCGCTACCAAAGATTTACAGTGCTAACTAACGAATTCACGTGCACTATGCAGAATTTCATGCAGATTGGGAATATCAAAAGTCTCGGACCTAAGCGAATTAGTCTAATGCCTCGCTCAGAGTCCACTCAGTTGGTCTTTTCCTGATCATCTGTTCACAAAGACGATACACATCTTATAGTCCAGTGATCATTTTGATGGACCGAGGTAATTGGTTTACTGCTCACGGCGGACTTTCTTCCATTGAGGCGTTGTTGGAGATTTCTCCCATCCTGCCGCACGTTTCGGAGCAGCTTTCGGCGATGAGGGCTTCGCAGGCGGTGCTTTTGATGGTTCATGGGATCTCGGCATAGCTTTAGCCTTTGGTGCGCTAGCCGACGAGGATGATGCTGAACCAGTGCCTTCAGGTTTCTGTGAAGGTTGTGCTGAAGATTTAGCTTTCGCGTCTGCGGTTGCAAACTTGGAAGCGGCACTATGTCCGACTGCTTTGAATACTTCACTCACTACTTCGTCGCCAAGGGTGGGAGCCATCTTCATTTTCATCTCGGACTTTCCCCTCTGCGCCTCGGCTTCAGCCAGCTGAATAGCATATGCCATCTTGCTGACAAAGTTTTGAGGTAACGGAATTCCGCATTGTTGTGCGGCAAAGAGTAGTTCCACCCTTTGTTCCTTTTCTCTCAGACTCAGATATACCGAGAAGGCTGGGAGTTCAATGCAGTTGGGAAAGCCATGGTTCCCGGAGCGAAAGAAGGTGTATGATTCATGTTCTGGAAAGGTTCCTTTTAGCAGTCGTCGGAGAAAGTTGCTGATGGTCACTCTCATCTCCTGTTTCCCCTGTGCATCAGCCTGCATTCGGTTCATTGGCATGAGGAAACCCAAGGACTCGGGAGTGTACCCAGCACATACGAGAAACTCCATCATCTTTTCATAGACCTCCAAAGTCTTGACGACAGGCATCATCATGTTTCTCGGTCGTCCAGAGTACATCTTCTCTCCCTCTGACCATGAGTTCTTCTTCCCTTTCGCTTGAAAGAGTTCGTCCAATTCCAGCTCCGTCGGTCGCTTGAGGTTGCCATCCTGGTCTTCACCTGTATAAGGACAGAAGTCGTCCAGGTCCAGCCGGACTTGCTTGGTCTCCGTCATCATCTCATAGTATTCCTCTGGGGTCAGAGTAACTCTCTGTTTGTAGTAGAGTCTGAACATTGCGATGATCTTTGACATCACGGCGTTGTCGTACAAGTGAGCCGCGGCCTCGGAGACATCATTGTTGACAAGTCCGTCTCCCGGCATACCCTTGCTTCCGCACTCAAGATTCTGGGTCCATGCTGGTAGTTTGGATGAAGGTTCATTCTCAGGTTCGACGTCCATCTCATCGTCATCATCTTCGACGATTACGTCGTCTTCCTGTTGAGTTTCTTCCTCCTGATCCATTTCTTCATCATCGCCTTCATTGTAGTCGACCTCATCAGGGTTGAAGCCATAGTCGTTGGATTCGGATACGTTTTCTTGTGCTTGATGGACCGTATCCTTGAACAACGATTCTTCTTGTCGACGAACCTCTTCATCGAGTTCTTTCTTTGTGGCCTCATCTTCATCGTCTTCAGGAGCTTGTAGCCGATATGGACGAATTCCACAGCTTTCAAGTTCTGTCCAGCAAACTAGACACACAGCAAGCTTCGTCGGCGTCTCGTTGAGACAATGAGGACAATGACGGCAACCTGATGTTTGCACCCTTTTGCGTTCGACTATATAGTCGATCAGCTTGATGCGGGCCAGGTATTGCTCTTGTCCGCCAGGCTCAATGAGGTTGTTCCTGAGGCATCCATGGTGGTCTCGTCATACGGTTGGTCTTCGGCGTCGATGCATTGACTTGCGACCCTCAGGATGGACTCCTTGGTGGCTACAGTTCTTGATTTGACAGTGCCAGACCGGACTACCTGGTCGTCGCCCGACGGGACGAACAACCGGAGCCATGTCTTGTTGTACTGGTCCTTGGGGTCCTGAATCCATCCTCCTTTGATCGCCGAAAACGGGATGATCTTTGGTGAAACGATCTGTCCCGAGTCAGTCACTCGACCGCCATACTCCACCATCAAGGTTTCGGTCGGGATGAACAGGCAGATAAAGTCTCCCTTTCGCGTATCAACGCTCTTCGTGATGGTCCATGATCTGTGATCCCATGGCACATACGGGTTGAAGAACGTGAACATCCGATGACCTTCTCCAAGACCTCCTGGGATTAACCCCTGCCTCCAAATGCTTCGGAGGTTGGTCTTCTTTGTGATGTGGAAACAGACCGGTAATGACATAATGGTGTTGGGTGCGATTGGATGCGAAAGCAACGATGACAGCAGTGAGACGTCATCTCTGGAAGACCCTTCCTTGTGCCCCGTTGGGGCGCGGACTGCCACTGGGTAGAGCAGTAGCCCTTCGTCGGGGATGTGCGTGTCCGCATCAACCTTGTTGTCAATGCACGTCAGGCTGCTGCGATCAATATCCTTGTTGATCCCGAACGCCAAGACTTGTTCACGCACACGACGTCCATACCGAGCACAATGGAACATGATCTTGAACAGCAATGTCATGCGATAGTTCGCCTCATTGACATTCCATGCATCTTGTTCATGTGCTCTTCCTTTGGGGGCAAGGAAGACATGTGGCCAGCGTGCATGCTCGTGTCTCCAGATGGACTCACATTTGAGCACTTCCTCGATGGGCACCCAGCCGGCGTCATCACAGCACAGACTCTGTGATTCTGATACCTTCCCCACATTGTGACGTAGGATCCTGTTCAACGATGTACTCACCTTGTCCTCGTAGCTGTCGAGTCGGTTGCCAGTCTCGAAGCGATAGTTGGCCGCGTATTCCACACCGCCAAAGTAAAAGCAGTTGAAGAAATGGGCTCCAGTTGTAGGGATGATTTTCAAGAAACCATCTTGCGGCGCCTCGATTCGCTTGTAGAAGGGCTTTCTGATGTTGTTGTCAGAGTAGC